ACCTGTCAGTCTTCATGGCATGACTTGGGTGGGAGGCCCTGCACAGCTCTCCTGATGGCTACTGGCCTTGAATTGATTGTTAGAGAATGCACTGGATACTCATGCAGACAAGGGCCTCTGTGTTGTCTCCCCTCTTCATACTATGGAGGAACCCTGAGCTGCGGGGGGTGTTGGGGCTATGCAGCCAGAAGTGGAGGGGATGGTAGTGACCAGGACTGTGTGAAGGCAGAGGAAGGAGCCTCCTTAGGGCTCAGAGTGAGCCAAGCACCAGAAAACATGGGTAATGGAGTTGGGGTGGCCACGGCAGGTTGGCCACCTGTGTGTCTAGGCGGATCCATGAACCAAGGTGGCAGCATGTTCATAGACCTGTGTGAAATGATGCCACTTCTCCCCATTGGTTTAGAATGAGGGCAGAGAAGAGGGACTCCCGACTTTGCTTGCTGCTTCTGTGCCTCATGGGAAAATTCTGTGCCCTCTGGCAGCTTGGTAGGCACTCAAATCAGTGTGTTGACACCAGTTCAGTGGACCAATCCCAAGTGACACTGAGGGAAAGATGTCACACCCTGGGCCAGGTCCCCGAAGTCAGGGTTGACCGAGAATGGCTGTGACACCTGGCCCACCCAGCAGATGAGCTCGGGAGCTCTTGGAGAGGAGAAGCTGAGGCCCACCTAAAGCCTGGAACTGTCCACAGAAGCTGTGGAGGACAGAAGTGAGGACTGCCTGCCGTGGGTGGCGCTGCCGCCCAGGTGGTCCCAGCAGCACTGGAGGGAGACTCACAGACTTGAAAATACCTGTTCTGAGGAGCCACTGTCTCCCTCCCACATGTATTTTTTAATTTATTTGAAAGACCAAGTTCGAGAGGGGGAGATACAAATACAAAGAGAATCTTCCACCTGCTTGTTCATGCCCCAAATGGCTGCAACAGTCAGGGATGGGCCAGGCCAAAGCCAGGAGCCAGGAGCTTCTTCCCCATCTCCCACGTGGGTGCAGGCGTCCAAGCACTGGGTCATCTTCCATTGCTTTCTCAGGTGCGTTAGTAGGATCGGAAGTGGAGCAGCTGGGACTTGAGCCAGCTCCCAGATGGGATGCGTGTATCCCACATGGAGGCTTAGCCGACTACACCACACACTGGACCCATCCCTCCCACATCTTACACATCCTTGTTCAGGTTCATCTCCCAATCTTCCCAGCCCATCTCTCTACGTCTCCTTGTCCTAAAGCCCTGACTGTGTGTCATGGACACTCCATTCTTTCTCCTTCCCTGGGCCCTGCAAAGCCTCTTCATGCTTCACTTCTCACATTTTCTTGCAATGCTGGACTTGGTCTCAGCCGTTTCCCTCTGTACCCTGCCTCTGCCCTTCCACCCTCACTCTCCTTGACTGTGCTGTATCCGTGACGGCTGCACCACCACCTCCTCCTTCACATAGACCCTTCTGTTGGTTTTTTTTGCTGTCCGACTCCCTAGCTAATGTGGAGGTCCCCAGAGGGCTGGCCCTATCTCTGCTCGGTCACCTGTAATGGCTGGGGACCCAATAGGGCAGATGGTCTAAGTCATGGCAGGCAGCAAACAGGTGAGTGTGCTGTGTTTGCGTTTAGAAAATGGCAAGGGGGTGGGTGGGTATCGTTCTGTGTTGATTCTCAACACACGACCCATTGCGTTTTTTTTTTTTAAGCAGGTGTGGGGGCGGGGGTGGGGAAGCTCCTATTTACTTATTCAATCACCTGTGTCATTCATTCCTGGAATCTGTTTTTATTGATTGGCTTTAACTTCACTAGGGACCTGCTGCGCCTTCATGCCTGGTCATTTCTGATTGGATGCCAGACTTTGCCAATTCTCCATGGTTGGATGCTGGGGTTTCCTTCTTTTAAAAGTATCTTTGAGTTTGATTTGGGGTCTCAGATGCCTGGCGAGTTCCTGGAGGCCTGCTTGGCAGCTGTGCAGCTGGGACCAGAGCTGTCCTCTCTGCTTCAAGGTCCCACCCTCCTCTAACTCCCTCTTCATGAGGTTTCTCCCCACTGGCTGCTGGGAACCTGACCCAGCCCAGGGTCATCCTGATAATGATTTCATCTGCTGCTCTTGTGGCTCTTTGTTGTCCTGGGTAATTTACTTCCGTGTATACACTGGTTAGTAATTAGCAGGAAGCTAGAGTAACCCACCCAGGATCTGCAGGACTCTCTCTTTTTCTTGCCTCTGCTCTCACACTCACACCTCTGGCACCCTGCCTCCCTGCCCTTGCTGGAATCCAGCTCCATCTCCTTGGCTCGGATGACTACTCCACTCTGCCCACTTGTCCAGTTCCCCTTCCTGAGCAGTCACCTGACACCTTTCTGCCTTCTGTCTCCTGGGCTTCCTGTCTCTTGGGGATCAGCATCCCATAACACCTGCCATCCAATGTCTGAAAGCCAGTTTTGCACTTTTGCTTGAGGTTACTGCTGTGCAAAGATGGAGCATGGAGCACGTGTCTGCCGCTCTGTCACCACTGTGTTGGCCTTGCTTTCCCAGGCATGGTCTGGACAGCATGCTGAAACGGGGTTGGGCTCCGGACTGAGAAAGTCTGGGCCTAGACAGCTGTAGTGTCGGAGTTCCAGTAGCTGTCAGTGGCTGCTAAGACTAGCAGAAATTCACAGCCTGCCCTGAGTCATGGTGGTGTGTGACAAGAGGCGGCATCTATTCTTGGGACATCAGGTCTCGGGGTGAGGCATGGTTCAGCTAAGCCTGCTGTGCTGTGGGCCTGGCCCAGGGGGCCGCCTTGTTTTAGGATGTGGCCCACAGTGAAGTAGCTCTGGCTAAGAGATGAGAGGGCAGCCGCTGCCCAGGACACATCCCTGGTGTCGGGGGGGAGGTGCTAGCCCACCAAGCTTTTGCTGTCCTACAACATCTCCGTGGTCACTTTGAGTAACAAGGCTCAGGTTGGCCTTGTTATTGTGGCACAGTGGGAGGTAGGGGTGGGAATAAGCTGTTGCTCTGTGATGCAGGCATCCTCTATAGAGCACTGGTTTGAGTCCCTGCTGCCCAGCTTCTGCTCCAACTGCCAAAGAGAGCGGCAGAAGATGGACCAAGTGAGAGACACTGATGGAGAGCCTGGTTCCTGTCTTCAGCCTGGCCCAGCCCTGCCCATTGCAACCATTTGGGGAGTGAATTAGTAGACGGTGATTTCTCTCTGTTTCTCCCTCCCCTTTTACTCTGATGCCTTTAACACACACACACATACACACACACATATATATATTAATCATTTTCTTTTAAAAGCTCATGTGCAAATTTAATGGGATAGGAAAGAATAAGCTACCCATGTGAGGCTGTGACTATGTGATTCTATTACAGGCAGGGAAGAATTCAGAGTAGTTATCGACACACCACAGTTTTGCTCTCTGCTTCCTAAGTAGTTCTTTAGCAAGATCTGAGCAATTTTCTGGAAGCCCCGTCCCCTCCGGCCCTGACTTCCGGTCAATGAAATGGTCCAACTAGTGAATGCTAGCAGGGACAGGGCTGGAGCCATTGGCCAGGATACCTTCCAGAAAAGCTTTTTGGGAAAACCCACTTGGGAGTGAACTTGAACACTTCCTGTCCTCTGTGCTATCTGTGAGCTCAGGTGGACTTTGTAGACAATCTTTTAAGTTACAGGGAAAGAGGGAAGAGAGAGAGAGAGAGAGAGGTATCCACCTGTTGGTCCCTTCTCAGCTTCAGGGAACTGGCCAGGCGCTCCATCAGGGTTTCCCACCTGTGTGGCAGGAACCAACCTACTAGGGTCAACATCTTCTGCTTCTCAGAGGTCTAAATAGGGAGGTGGTAGGTAACGCCCATGCCTGTTGGAGCGTTTCATCCATCCCCTCACTTGTAGAAGTCAACAGACTTGAGGAGAGACGGACTTTGGGGAGTTGCACCTGCTGTGCAGGGTGTGTCCTTAGCACACATCCCCGGGGCATCCACCAGGAGGGAGGTGCCCTTGCCAGCAGCTGCACACACTTTGCATGTGACCCTGTCGAGCGAGACACCCGTGGCCCCAGACTCCCCTTCTTGTCCACTTCCTCCCCCTGTGTTTTTTCTGGCAGACTGGTTACTCCGTGTGGGGCCCCAGCATTCATCTCTGTCAATAAGGCCTTTGGAGCTGGGAGAACACATCTCAGCCAGACCCAAAGTCAACAGCGCTTTCCCCGGACATGCCAGGAGCTCTGGGGGCTGGGTTTCCAGGCACGTGCCTCACACCTGCTGGTCCCTGGGGAGCTGAGTGGGGCATCTGCATGAGCTCTGTGCACTCCAGGGGCAGGGGACGGGGGTGGGGGGAGGAACTTCTGGAATCTGACCTTAAGGGTTGTGTTTGGTCTTCCCTGGTTATACCCATGTAACTGAAGGCCCACTGTGTGCCAGGGGCCTGTGAGGGTCCACGCATAGGCTGGACCTTCACAGGGGCCTCCACTGCAGAGCCACAGGGAAGCAACACCATCAGCCAGCCTGGAGCTTTAAGTCCTGGAGGGGTAGGGTATGTGTAATGATTTTTTTTTTCTTCCTCTGCTCTAACAAAAGAAAGCACACACCATCCAACCAGTCATTCATGCTGCATTCTCCCTCTGCGTTCCCCTCAGGATCTCATGGGCCTGGCTCGTGGAGTCACAGACAATAGAGCTTTACTGAGCTGGTTTCCCATCCAGGTGCCCTCCCGTCTCTGGCTGCAGTTCCCAGGTCAGGCAGCACTTCTCCACGGGTCTGCTCTTCAGCTTGTGTGTCCCTGAGCCGGGGCCTGTGGCTCACAGGGCGAGACGTGTCCCCCTTGTCCCCCACCACCCAGGCTCCACTGCACACTCCCAGCCAGCTAGGTTGAGAAGTGGGCATTTCAGTCCAAATCCTGCAGAGCTCCATGTGCAGGCTGGCAGGCTCACGGTGCCACACTGCCCCCTCTCAAAGCTTTCTGTAGGACTTGGGCAGCAGCCACCCACTGTTCCCTCGTGTGCCATGTCCTAAGCCCTGCTGGTGAATGGTGTCCCCAACAGACATGGCTTGCTCAGTCCATGGGGGTGATGGTGGGGTTTGGGTCTGGTCTGGGAGATGGATATTGCCTATCAATATCACGTGCATCTTTCTCACCACCTTGTCTGACTCTCACATTTTGCTTGGCCTCCTCTAGCCAGTCCTGGACTTCTAAACAAGGGAGAAGGCTGCCTGGTGGGGAATGGGGCACAGGGGATTAACTGGACATTAACAGGCGACCAGTCACCCCACCACCCCCATATCCCACCTGTGGGAGCTCTTGCGTCACGACATGACAACATCACTATTGTCTAACCTCAGATTCTAAGTGGAGCATCACTACAAGGAAGCCAGAGCCCTCATCCTGCCCCCTAGCACCCTGCCACTACCTGGCCCTGCCAGGAGCTCGAGATGGTGTGGTTGGCCCCCAGCATGACCTCTCTGGTGGCTGCTGGGACACCATTCTGGAAGAAGCATGGTCCTTCTGGAGTCAATGTCTCCCGCTGCTCCTGGCCGCTTACAGCCCGCAGAATGAAGGGGGAACAGTCTTTCTTCTTTTGTCATCCTCGTTGGTGTGGTGCATGGCTGGGCTCTGGCTGAAAATTCAATTGCTTCCCAAACCTGGAAGGAGATAGATGCTCTTGGTTAGGCTGTGCCTGCAGATACTGACTTCTCAGGCTGAAGTTCTGGCCACGCCCCCTGGGGTTTGGGTAGCAGGACTCTCATCCTGTCTCCCAGGGGCCGCCTTCACTTCCCAAAGTCTGAAGGACTTGGCCTTCTCTGCTCTTTGCAAATTTTGTCTCCTTGAGCTGGGACACTCATTTTCCAAAGCAGTGGGTTTTGCTGACATTCCTGCTTAATTCCCCAAGAGAATATGTCCTTGTTTTGATTTTTTTAAAAAAACAATAAGATTTTATTTATTTGAAAGGCAGAGTTACAGAGAGAGAGAGAGGAGAGATGAAGATTTTCCCTTCTCTGGTTCACTCTCCAAATGGACATCACAGCAGGAACTGCGCCTATCTGAAAGCCAGGAGCCAGGAGCTTCTCCCATGTTTCCCAGGTGGGTGCAGGGGTCCCAGGAGTTGGGCCATTTTCTGCTGTTTTTTTTTTTTTTCCAGGCCACTAGCAGGGAGCTGAACAGCAACCAGCAACCAGGACATAAACCCATGCTCATACGAGATGCCGGCATTGCAGGCTGCTGCTTTATCTGATATGCTACAATGCTGGCCCTGTCCTTGATTTTTGCTCTAGATTTTCCTTATTTTTCAGGATGCCCTCCCACCCCCCACTACCCACATGGTGGGCTGGTTCCTATTCCTACTTCTGCCCTGAAAACCTGCTATCTTTCATGGCTGTATGTGGGGAAGGGTTCCCTGGACTGAGAACTCAAGAGCCCTTGAGTTCTAACCAGGAAGTCGCCAACACGTGGCTTGACTTGGTGCCGATATTGGTCATTTCCAAGCTGCTGGTGCCAACAGGGGGCCTGGGAAAATGCATGTGGCTGGCACAGCTCTTGGTTTCTCTGTGGTTCGTAGACTGCCAGCACTGGTGTCTCCTGGAGGCTGTTAAGAAATGTAAGTGTCGGGGCTTGCTGGATCAGAACCCCACTTTCACATCCCTCTTACACTCACTGGCCACCTCTCTGTGATAGAAGTGGGATGAGTGATGTGTGACTTACTTGGTTCTGACAGAAGCAGAGCAAAAGGGAGTTTCTGATGTTCTTGGGTGAAATGACGAACTCAGATCCCATGGCAGTGGGCAAGGAGACTGAGGGGTGAGGCCAGCCACAGGATGGGTGAGGGGACAGCTGCAGCCATCTGGGTGTGGTCCTGGGGGTAGTGGTGAAGGATTTGGGCTTGAACACCATATAGCCCCTGAACTCATACAGGGTAGTACTAAGTGGGTTGGAAACTTGATCTGATTGTGGAGTTCAGGAGGTGGGCCTAGTGGCAGGTGCGTGCCCTCGAGGTAGTTCTTGTGACTGACTGCAGCAGCCTGCACTGGGCCCACCTGCTCTCTTTGCTTTTGGCTTACCAAAGTAATCCTTCCTCATACACATGCTCCACCACCACCATCCACTGCCCGCAGCCGGGGGCCCCTGTTTGTTACCGCCACCCACAGCTCAGGATGAGGGGAGTTGGGGCCCGGGGCTGGATGCATGCTTTGGAGTTGGGGCTGCCAGCAAGCCAGCGCCCTGACAGCGAGCTCCTCGGCTGCAGGTATCATGTGTCTGGTTCTATCACTTTAGGGACTGAAGGATGGAACTCCCAGTCAGCACTGGGGTTGGGATGAGTGTGGGTTCCCGGAATAGGGGTACAGCTGCCAGGTGCATTGTGATATAAAGAGATAGTCACAGCCCCCCATGCCATTGGGTGGGCCTGTTCTCCCCCCAGGCTGTGGCGAGAGAGGCTTTGCCGGGCAGGACTGGAATGGACCCTGCCTCAGGGAGCCTTGTGGTGCCACCTTGGACAGGGGGCAGAGGTGGCCTTTGAGTCCCCCACTGGGCTCTTGATTCTTCCTGATTCCTCAAGAAGACTCCTGAGCACAGGCAGGGGGCCATAACTCCCCCTACCCTCTGGCAAGACCTCCTCTGGCACCTGCTGAAACAGATGGGCCTGGGGTCCTGGGGGTTCACCCTGAGTTCCTTTCCTGTAGAAATCCTTTCAAACTCAAGGATGAAGGGTGTTCGGCTACAATGCCCTCAATAAGGGATTAACCACTTCTCAGCTGTGGAAACTGTCCCTGGCAGCCAGCAAGGATGATTGAGCCCCCTTTCGGGCAGCTCTACCTGTCTTCCTGGGACTCCTGGCAGGGACTTAGCCATTCCACGCTTTCCTACAAACCTTAAATCAGCCAGATTTGCCCTAGCCCGCAGCGGGTGAGCTGTACATTAAATCTCCCTCTCTGGGCTCCGCGTTCCAAGTCACAAATTTCCCGTAACGGCAGCCCTGCTGCATGCTAAATGAGCAGTGTGAAGCCCGGGGCGGGAGAGGAAGTGTTTGCTTTGGCTGGGGAGGTACCGGCCCCCGGCCTGCGTATTTGTCTGATAAGGGGGCCATGCGTGAACTGTTTTGCAGTGGGCCCCTGGCCATCTGCTGCGTGTCTGAAAGGGTCATACCTGTCAGCTAGTGGGCCCCGACCTGGTGGGAGAGAGGAGAGGAGAGAGAGAGAGAGGGAAGAGAGAGGGAGACCCCTGGACATTTGTGTCTTGGCTTCCTTAATAACCTTACAGTCACTAAGAATCCATGGTTATTTTTCTTCCACCAGGAATAAAAATTGGATCCTGGAACTTCGATTTGTTTTGATGAATCACTTCCAGGCCACTGCAGGGGGGAACAAAGCTCCTCCATCAGGGGTGTAGCCGTTGCCCTCTGCCCATGCTGGTCACTTCTGGCAAGGGGTAGGTGTGGCCTGGGAGGGACAGCCAGGCGGCTGTGGTCCCGTGGAGAGAGGGCAGAAAGCCATGGATGAGCTGTGTGATCTTGGGTGGATCACTCCCTCTCTATGCACCTGTTGCCTCACCCATCCAAAAGGGAGCACACCCATCCAGCAGGGAGCACCCATCCAGCAGGGAGCACCCATCCAGAAAGGAGCACACTCATCCAGGAGGGAGCACCCATCCAGAAGGGAGCACACCCTTCCAGAAGGGAGCACCCATCCAGCAGGGAGCACACACATCCAGAAGGGAGCGCACACATCCAGAAGGGTGCACACCCATCCAGAAGGGAGCATCCATCCAAAAGGGAGCACTCATCCAGCAGGGAGCACCCATCCAGCAGGGAGCACCCATCCAGAAAGGAGCACACCCATCCAGCAGGGAGCACCCATCCAGAAAGGAGCACACCCATCCAGAAGGGAGCACACACATCCCTGCTCTGCAGGAAACATGACATATGGAAGCACGGATGGAGGGGGCCATTTGCCATGCACATTCATACTCACTTTCCTAAAGCTGCCTTGCCCTCTGGCCCAGCTTCCTGTGCTGCCTGGGGACATGGGTAGAAACCAGGCCTTATTCAGGAACGCACACAGCATGTTTGCAAGCTATCTGCAACGCGAGCATCCCAGGTATGAATGCTGGTTCAGGCACCGGCTACGCAGCTTCCTATCCAGTACCCTACCAGCGTGCCTAGGAAAGCAGCAGAGGATGGCCCAAGTTTTTGGGCCCCTGCACCCACATGGGAGACCTGGAAGAAGTTCTTGGCTCCTGGATGTGTCCCAGCCCACCCCCAGTCTTTGGGATCGTTTGGGGAGTAAATCAGCAGAATGGAAGACCTTTCTCTGTGTCTGTGTCTGTCTCTTCTCTCTGTAACTCTTGCTTTTCAAATACACACACACACACACACACAACATAGATCTTTTTAAAAGAAAATCTTAAAGAAGAAAGTCACTCTGCTGAAAGCCCCTGGGTCTACATCCCTTGTCTATTGTGCTGGGTGACGGTATCTCTTTTGCTTGTACAAGCCATGTGAGCCTAACTTCAGAACTGCTGCTTCCTGGTTGGGCTTCCCGAAGGCAGAAACAGGAGCTGATTTCTGTGCCTGCCTCCAAGAGCTCCCAGCTCCAAGAGCCATCGCCCTCCTCCTCTGGTGTCCTGGGCAGGGGAGCTTTCCCACCGCAGGCCTGGTGTTCCCGGCTCTCTGCTTTCCATGTATCAGCCCTTACCCGCCTTCCTGGTCCCCAGTGCAAACAAGCCTTCCCCCTGGGCCTCCCTGTCCCACCTCCAGCCCTAGCCTTAAAGAGTGGCTTCTGCTGTGCGGCTCAGCTTCCTCCCCTTGCCTTCCTCAGCCTCTGCCAGCTCCTTGCCCTGTCCTTGGCCACCAGGGTGAGCACACAGGCCAGCGCCAGTGCTCATCCTTACTCTTGTGGGCTCTCTGGGTGGTACTGGATTCTCGTGACTGAGCAGCCAGAGGCCACACACATACACCTGCAGGTCCTTCTCTCCCAGCACTCTGTCATCCTCTCAGCACGGGAGGCTCCAGGGAGCTGGTGTCAGTCTGGAGGTCACCTTTGTACTCTTGAGGGGGCAGTGCTGGCCAGGCCTGGGGCAGTTCACATGCCCCGATGCCCTCTCTGTCTAACCCAGATCTGCTTTTGGCAGAGCTCTGTGGTCTACAGAGCATCTCAGCACCTCCAGCTTCTCCCTCTGACACTTGCTTTTCTCTGCCTTCCTCACATCACGGGTGGCACTGCTGTCCTCTTAGCTACCCAGATGGAAGCCCGGTAGGTGCCCTGACTCAGCCCAGGCTACTCACTCCCCTTTTGCCCCTAACCCTGACTCCTTCCCTTCTGTGCCCAGAGCTCAGCAAGGCTTTCTGTCTCTCACTGTCCAGTGCTCCCATTAGGTCCTCTCTACAGATACACCCGGTGGTCTCCGGCCACTGAGCTCAGAGGCATCACCCGGATTGTCCCTGTCACCACCTATTAGACCTCAGTGAACTTGGTCATCTGCTTCTGTGTGCTCCGGCTATTTTCCCAGGCCTAGTGGCAGTGGCTGGCACTCAGGAGATGCAGTGTTGGGTCCCTGGCTGGCTGCTCTTGTTACCACTCAGTATCTGACTCATGTTGTGAGTCCTGGGGGTGGAGGCCCAGAAAGGGAACAGGAAACTGAGGGGGAGGGAAATCCAGGCATCACAGCAGGTGAGTGGAGTGCTGGGCTGCCTCAGGCATGGCTGCAGAGGGTGCTGACTGAGGCAGACTGGGCCAGCAGGACCCCCAGTGACAAGGGGCCACACGCGAAGGCTGTGTCTCAGCCTGGGGGCGGGGGATGCATCACTACACCAAAACCCCGCATTGTCCTCAGCGCACATGCCTGGGGAAGAGGTCATATGCAGGGCCACCCCAGCACCCCTGGGCCTGGAGCAGGTGACAGTGCAGGATGCACAGATAAGGGCACCTGCTGGACACATGGAGGCAGTACCAGGCCTGTCTGGTAGCCTCAGATTATTGGGTGGAGGTGAAGACCAAGTGCAGGGCTTGGCTGAGGGCCCCTTTGGGTGTCTGTGGGGGAGACCAATGAGCAGAAGAGGCGTGGTCACAGCCAGTGGTGGCTGGGCAGCCGCTGAGAGCAGGGAGCAGGCTGGTGGTGCAGGCTGGGGGGCCCAGCACGCCACACTTCTTTCCTCTGTGACCGGGACTCAAGTTTAGGTCCAGTGCTCAGCGGCCAGGAGGGTGAGGCCAGCCTCGCACTCCACAGGTCACCAAAGCCTCATTCAGTCCCTTCCTGCTTGGAGAAGGCCCGGCCTTTGGGGACAGAGGACAAGAGGGACTACAGAGGGGAACCAGTGCCCTGTCTAGTGGGGCAGGTGCGTCTGGCTGCCCACTCCTTAGGGTCCATCTGGGTGGCCCCCTGGGGCTTCCTCCAGGAGGAAGTGCTGCAGGCTAGGCCTATGTGAAGTGACCCAAAGGCCAGTCCTGGAGCTTCTGGGAACACACGGGAAGCTTCTGGCTCTCTTCTCCCATACCTCCTGCACCAGCCCCTTCCCCTCCTGCCCCTTCCCACGGGGGGGCATCCCAGGGCAGGGGCACACGTACCCTTTCTCTGCAGAATGCTCTGTCTGGCCTTGATGAAGGCCAGGATGTCCGAGTCGGTCTGGCTGTCCCCGGTGAGGGGGATGGATGACACCGGTCTCTGAGGATCACTGGGGACAATCACACACACTTATCGTACCCTAGGAGGCGGTCCCAGTGCTCAGCTGTTTTCAGTGTTCTGGTGTCTCCCGGAAGTAGGTGACATGGTCAGCCTTCTGCTTTCCTCCCACCTGCCCAGTGAGTGGCCACATCCACTGCTTGGGCATGCCAGCTGGGCTGAGGCATGCAGAGGAAGTGCCAAGTGGGGCTTCCAGGAAATCTGCCTCGGCAGGGATGGGATGTGTGTCCTTTGCCCTCTCAGTTCTCCATCGGCTCCAAGGCTCTCCCCGCAAGGAGAGGCAGGGCAGCACACACCCTGGGCCCTGCCAGTCTTTCCCCACTTTCCCCCAGCTCCCATCATTCCACAGGGCAGTTGGCAGCAGGGGTGTATGGGACACAGGGCTGCCGAGAGGCACAGGTGCCTTGTGGGATGGGCCACATCCGCTCCACTTCTGCCAGAGGTGACGCAGGATCTCTGGGATCCCTCACGCCCCAACCCTGCCACCACCCACCCTCATGACCTTGGAGGAAGAGTCTTGAATTCTGTAAGAGCTCAAGGGGTTCTCAGGGCTCCAGGACAGGGGCTCTTTGGTGGTGAGGGGAGCAGCCCATCCCTGTAGGCCTGCTCTGTCCATTGCAGGCTGTCGGGGGGTGGGGGTGGTCCACTCACCTGCCTTCCACTGGGGTGCTGCTGCTCCGGCACTTCTGGCTGTGCAGGCTGGGGACTGGTGAGGCCAGGGTCCTCCTGGCAGTCACATCATTGCACAAAACCAAGCGACGAGAATGAGACGTATGAAGAGGAGAGTCAGGGTTAACATGGAGAGCTGCTGCAGACTGAACATGCCCTCCCAGTGTGACAGTGTGTGGAGATGAGCCCTGTGGGAGGTCACTGGGGTTGGACGAGGTCCCCGTGTTGAGGAGTGGCAGAGAGCTTGCGGCTTAAGAAAGAGGCGGATGTCAGCTGGAAAAGGCACTCTCATTGATGGAACCTACTACCGTGACTGAAGCTCATGTGTCACTTCCAGATGCACCTGTAGTAAACCAACACCTAACGCCGTGGGGCCTGGCACTGGGGCCGCAGCAGGCTGGGCCCCTGCCTGTGATGCTGGAATCCCATATGGGCGCCCGGTCGGATCTCAGCTGCTGTTCCACTTCTCACACAGTTCCCTGCTGATGTGCCTGGAAAGGCAGAGGGAGGTGGCCCAAGTCCCTGGGTCTCTGCATCCATGTGCGAGACCTGGAGGAAGCACCTGGCTTTGACCTTGTCCAGCCCTGGCTGTTGTAGTCATTTGGGGAGCGAATCAGCAGATGGAAAATTGTCTCTTTGTCTCTCTTCCCCTCTCTGTAGCGCTACTTTTCAAATGAAAACGAACTAGCTAATGCCTAATGCCTAAGTGTCAGTGTCACGGTAACTGGGGGGTGGGGTGGGGGGGCTCGTAACAAGTGACAAATGTCTTGGGAACAGGCTCAGCATCCTTAGAAAGACACACTAGAGATGCCTTGCTCCTAGCCCCCTGTGGGGATACAGCCCAGAGGGCACTCACCTGCCGCTGAACCTGTCCGTGCCTTGGTCCTGGACCTCCCAGGCCCCGCACCTGTGGAGAAAGAAGTGCAAGTTGAAGACTAAATGGGCCAGTTGGCCTGTGGTGTTTTGATACGGTGGAGTGGGCACACCAAGGCAGGGACCTGGCATGCTGTGTCTTGGATGGTGCCCAGGCCCACATCTGTGCCTGCAGCCTTGTGCTTGCCAGCTGCAGAGCTGGAGCAGTGAGCAATGACTGCAGCTGGCACGCGTGGACCCCGAGCAGGTGCCAGGCCCCGTGCAAGCGCTCTGTAAGCATTGTGCTACTCAGTCCCCTCGGCGTCACCGCTCCCAACCTGTGGATGAGAATACCGAGGCTTGCGGGGTTTAAGGAGATTCTGCAAGTGAGCCAGCAGGCAGGTGGCAGAACCTGGAGTGAGCCAACCCCCCTTCTCTGTGAGGCTCTATGTGGAACTGCCGCTTGCAGGCAGGCTGCTGGTGTCTGGGTGTCCTGAGCAAGCCCACACTGGGTTGGTTCACCTCTGAGCACACTGACTGCCCTGGGGGTGGGCCCAGGGGACCAGCTCTGTGCTCCCCGGTGTGGTGGAGTCCCACCCAGCAGTGGGTGGAATGTGGCGGTCCTGATCTTGCTAGACTGCCTCAATACTTGCTTTCTCATGGGTGCTGGGTACATCCAACGTCTCCTGGGTGGAGAAGAAGCAGATGTTAGCTTAGTCCTTGGGCCTGACCGCATGGATCCCGCTCTGCCTCATGTTGTAAGGACTCAGTGATGGACTGTCCCCTGTGCTCTGGCATTGCCTGCAGCCAGTGTCAGAGCTGTAGGAGGCCTGGGAGCTCAGCTGGCCAGAAGTTTCTTTCCCTGGGATGTGCCACAGGTTCAGGTCGGTAGGTGACAGTGGGAAGGCATTCCGGGCCTTGGCCTCTGCCACCCCCACACGGACCCATTTCCCAGCAGGGAGACTGCCGGCAAGGTTGCTGCAAGGCCAGAGGCAGCCACCAGGTGGCAGACTCCGCTCGCTCGTCTGGGGAAAACCGCCTCTTCCACAGGGCAGCCAAGGGTCTGGTTTGGCTCCAGCATCCCCGAAATGACGCGGGGATGTCTGTGCTCACAGGATGACAGGGTTAGAGGGACCCCAGAGGTTCTTGCAGATGAAGGGGGAGTCCCAGCCTGAGGGGAGAGGGTGGGAGCTGGGATCCGTGTGAAGTCCAATGACGGGACCCTGCGGACCCCACGGACTCTGCGGACCCTGTGGACCCTGTGGAGGGGGCCCCCTGATGATCCGACACCCACTCCTGGCACCCAAGGCCCTGGGCTGCAGGCAGGCCATGTAGGGACCAACTTCACTGGGAGTCTCTGTGGGATAATTACTGGTGGGGAGCGCAGTGATGGGGGCTCCCCGCTTCCCAGACAAGGTGGCAGCCGAGGGGGAGCCTGGTGCCACTGCTGCTGTCTGGCTTCCTGGGACCTGCGGGGAGGTGGCACACAGATCCTGTGGCTTTTCATCCCTTTTAAAGGGTCTTGGGCAGATCAGTGTCTTAACTTTAAGAAACCTTAATTTGTCAGTCTTTCTCTTTCATACTCCACAGCACCCATGAAGATAGGAAGCCAGCCAAGCCGCTGGCATCGTACCAGCTGCTGCCACGGGCTTGGAAACCGCTGGGGAGGTGATTCAGAAAACTGGACGTCAGGCTGAACATGGGCATGGAGGGCAGGATTAGGGACAGGTGGAGGGCAGGTCATTGGCTGGGCTTTTTTTTTTTTTTTTTTAAGAACAGTTTTAGATTTCTGGGGAGATTGCAGAGATAATACAAGGAGCTCACACCCACCCACACCCGGGTCCCTTTCTTGCTCATGTTGACGTCCATGGGCATGTGAGTCACAGGGACACATGAACATGGACACCCTTCTCCCAGCTGAGGTCTGTCCTGCACGGGACGTGGCCTGGCTTCCTGCTCTGGTCTCTCCCTGGAGCCTGGTCGTGTCCCCCTGGCTGTCCCCCAGCTGTGACACATTGTCAGCCACTGCTTGCCTGTGACGTCCAGGGGCAGGTCCCGGGGGCCCAGCCAGGAGGCCCGGAGGGAGGGCTGAGGCTTTCCTGCGGCTCTCCCATCACAGCGAGGTTAGGGTCCATCGGGCTGATTCTTGGAAAGCTGTGTCTGTTCCTGCAGGTCAGAGCTCCGCTCTGCCACGCCCAAGAAAAGGCCCGCTCTTTGCGGGCAGTGAGGCCCAGAGCCGCCCATCTCAGGGCCGGGGAGTGATGGAGCCCTGAGCCGCGGGTTCCACTGTATGATTGGACAGGGATGAAGGGTCCCTGCTGGGCCGTCCCATCACTTAGGGATGGTGGGCGACCTTGTGGTGGGCTTGGGAAGGCTCCCATAGCTTATCTGGCCCTTGCTAGGACACAGTCCCTCACAGTTGTTCCCTGTACCCTGGTGGGGTACCTATCTCCTGTGTCACTTTAACCCCCTCCCTAGTCTCCCATACGGCCCCTTCTTCTGATTCCAGGGTGTCAACTTCCTTTTTTGAATCCCATGGCAGTAGTCTGTTGGCTGCCAGCATGAGGGGCCGAGGGGTCGGCACCCCACTGAGCTCACGAGCTCCTGGTGTAGTCCTAATACAACAACACAAGGGGCCCTTCATCTGGGACACACACTGAGGCAGCAGGAGTGGGTGGAACCCCTTTTGGGCACCCCGGCTTACCTGGCAGCAGCAGAGGGAAGGTGGGGCTGCTCATGCTTGGATTCGGACGTGTGGGGATACGGCTTTACGTGGTCAAGTGAACTCGCCCCTGGAGAATCTACCTGTTGGCCCAGGAAGTACCAGAGCGTTAGCCTGGGTCTGTGGACATGAGAGAGTCCTGGGCACATTTCTTCAGCGGCAAAAGGCGCTGCGAGGGTTTTGTTTGTTTTTTAACCCATGTAGTATTTTCATAATATGCCTCTTCCATGATTTTTTTTTTGCAGACCCCACACATATGTGAGTTTCCAATTTTTTTTTTTTGGTACCAAAGAAAACTCACTGTTTTTCAAATCATTTCTCTGAGCCTTCTGAAGTATCCTCCTCCTTGAAGCCCTGCCGGCCTTGCCCTGCCCCTGCCCTGCCCTGCCCTGCTCTGCCCTGCACCTGCCCCTGCCCTGCCCCTCCCCTGCCCCTGCTCTGCCCTGCCCCGTACCTGCCCCTACCCTGCACCTGTCCCTGCCCTGCCCCTACCCTGCCTTGCCCCTCCCTTGCCCCTGCCTTGCCCTGCATCTGCTCTTCACCTGCCCCTGCCCCTCCCCTGCCCTGCACCTGTCCCTGCCCTGCCCTGCCCTGCCCTACCCTGCACCTGTCCCTGCCCTGCCCCTCCCCTGCCCCTGCTCTGCCCTGCCCCGTACCTGCCCCTGCCCTGCCCTGTACCTGCAGTTGGGTGGCTTCCTCTGCCCACCAGACTTCAAACTCTTTCTGCAGCTTCACCTTGGCTTTGTCCATGAGCAGCTGCAGGTGCTCGATCTCCACCTTCAGGGCTTTCAGGCGCGTGAACATGGCTTTATACCTGCCGTGGAATCACAAGACTCGGTACTCCTGTCTTTTTCCTCTTCAAATGTTTGTTTATGGTGATCATGTACTTGGCAAGCAGAATGACAGAGACAGTGCAAGGTGAGAGAGATCTTCCATGTGCTGGTTCACTCTCTGAAAGCCTCTAACAGCCAGGGGCTGTGCCAGGCTGAAGCACAGAGCCAGGAACTCTACCCAGGTTTCCCATTTGGATGGCAGGGACCCAAGTACTCAAAACATCACCTACTGTGTCCAGGGTCTGCCTCATCAACTCACCAGGAAGGCAGACTTGAAAGTGTGGCTTGGACTCCAGCTGGCACTGCTATTTAGGTGTCAGAGCCGCATCCCAGCCACTGTGCCCAATGCCTGCAGCATATGGCTGTCTTGCAGTAGCACACAGGGAGGGCTGAAAGGGAGCAGGGCCTGTGTTGCAGAAGCTTGGCAGTGAACAGCTCTCTCCCCTCGCCTGCCCCTGGGGACCAGGACTAGGAAACCACATAGAGATCAGGACTGGAAAGGTGAGGGCCTCCCCATGGTCATACCTCTGGACTCCACCGGGTGGCAGCAGCAGACAACACCAACTACTTCCTGGGCTGACTTGGCCTTGGTTGTGTTAGGCCTGCCCTCACTCACACTTCCTGGGGCCTGCTCATTTCGCATGGTTTTAGGACCCAGCCGCTGGACCCACCTCCCTGAGTAGTTCAGGGCTCTGGGTTGGGGGTTGGCCTCTCTACCCTGCCCTTGACAGCTCCTGGAGGTCGAGGCCCAGCTGTGCCTGGCCCGTAGGAAGGGTACCTTGTCTTCTCCTCCTCCAGCTGGGATCGCAGCTTCTCTTCCCGTGGATCTGACGCCGTGGGTGCGGCTGTGTGCTCTGAGATGCCTGTGGGAAGGAGGGTGCTGGTAGGTAACTTGGGGGAGAAGTCAGGCAGAAGGAAGGGTGTGATGTTTGGGTGAGATAGAGTTCAAGTGCATCCCAGCAGGAAAGGGAAGCCGGGGGCCACAGGAGGGCATCCTTCACTCACTGAGCACCAGAGAGGGTGCTTCTAGAATTACTCTCCCTCCTCTTTGTCCCGCAGCTGTGGCTGGACCGCCTGATCAGCACTTGGGACTGAGGACCCTGGCAGGGCGTGGGGAAGAACTGAACCCTGCTTCCGCTGCTCCCACAGACACCAACCAGCCTGCTCCCAGAGTGTTTGTGTTGCCGGTCTGGACTTGGTCCTTCCCCAGCCTGGGGTGTGGGACCTGTTGGTTCCCCCAACAGTTTCTGTGTAGCTGTGATGCACTTCCCAGGCCCACGGGAGACCCTGGGACATCACAGCCCTGCTCTGGACTCCAGGTTGGGGGCTACAGCCCAAGCTCTTTATGGGCAGAATCAGGCTCACTCCTCCTCCGAGTCATTGTTTGAGCTAAGTGGGTAAAGTCCTACTTTACCCTTAAGGACGCTGTGGTCCAGGGCGTGCACTTGTCTGAGTCATGATGGTGACTTTAGGAACCAGGTACACATCCAAACTTGTTCTTAAGGGGGCTTGGATTTTAAAAAAAATTCCCTTTACAGGTAACCCCTGAACAGCAAGTGGAGAGGGGCATCTAGGTCCTGCACAGTGAGAGACCCAGGCACAAGTTTTGATTCTGCAGCAATAGTAGGAGGTGGCTCTGGGACTCCTACAGCCGCCGTGCAAGTGCCAGCTAGCTTTCCTCAGCTGTGGTTCAACACTGCATCTCTGGGGCAGCATGGTAGCATAGCAAGTAAACCCACCGCCTGTGACACCAGCGTCCCATATGGGTGTGGGTCTGTGTCCTGGCTGCACCACTTTGGATCCAGCATGTTAACTAACATACGCAGGCAAGCAACAGAAGGTAGGCTGAATGCTTGCCTCCCTGCACCCATGCAGGAGACCTGGAGCAGCACCAGGCCCCTGGCTTTTGCTTAATTGCTTTCAGTATTTCTAGGCTACAGGGTCACCTCTCGTCTTGTTGTTTTTCATATTGCTACAGATTCCCCAAAACAAAACCAATCTGTGTCACAGTGGATCTGTGTAGTTCAAATCCATGTTCAAGCGCTGAGATTATCACATTCTGCTTTCTGCCCAAAGTGTCCCAGCGATGGGGAGCCCCTGACCCTGCTTCTTGTCACCCCCCGCCCCAGGGCTCCCTGAACCTCTGACATGAACCCAGCAGAAAAACGGGGTCTCCGATGTGATGCCAGAGGTCAGAAGCTACTATGAGGAAAGATGAAGATGGATAAGGTGTTAGGCTGTTGTATGAGGTAGTGCGGTCAGGTCAGGGGAGGGGACCAGAGGGAAAGGAGGGGACCAGCGTGCAGAAAGCAGGGTGCAGAGTGAATGATGGCAGGGGCTTGTGCACCTGAGGAATAGTGACAGGGTCATTGTTGGGGTGGCTGATGTGGGAAGGGGCAGTGAGGGCAAAGGATGGGGGAACTGAGGCGGGAACAGTAGGAACTTGTGGGCCTTAGCGAGGACTCAGAGGCTGGCGGGTTCCAAACAGAAGAATAGCATGATAAGTGCTTTCCTCTGGGCAGCTCAGTCACACAGTTCTTTTCTCATCGAGACAAAGCTGCTTTAGGAACGGTCAATGTGAGTGGCGCCAGGATGCGCCAGCCTGGTGCAGGGATGTGGGAAAGGAGGCTGGAGCAGGGGATGCCTGGGGGTGGGGTGGCCATGAGGGCACAGCATATCCTTGGGGACATGAATTCCCCTAGGGTCGTCATGACAACCTCAGTGGTTCTGTGGCCAGAGGTGATGTCTGCTTAGAGAAGTGCATTGTAGCCCAGCAGGAGGCCGGCGCTGGCTGCCAGACTTGGCTTCTCAGGCCCCTCTGGAGAGAGGGAGGCCTGGGCGCTCCCATGGAGCCAGACAAGAGGCGCTGAGCAGGAGCAGAGGGGGAGGGAGGAATGGAAGGACATTTGGGACTTTGTAGGCCACGGCTGCCCTGGACCTCGGGCCAGGGGGCAGGACCAACCTGCAGTCACCTGACTGAGGCAGGATTGTGGTGCGGACAGCACTGGAGGACACGGTCCTGGCTGGCCTGTGGGAGTCCCTGTTAATCCGTGGAAACAGCTGGCTCCGAGGCAACCAAAAACAAGAGAAGGGCTTTGCCTCCTCTTGGCTCCTGCGGGCCTGTATGTCACAGCAGGAGTGAGTGGAGAGCCACTGGGGCTTCAAGCTGAGGGCAGGCACGGTCCCAGGACAACCTTGTCTCTGGGCTGTGGGCCGTGCAAGCACAGGAGGGCTCCTGCTGGGAAGGCCAAGTCAGGACCCCCGAGCCACTCCTGCAGCCGTGGCTACAGCTACAAGCATTCCTGTGACTGCTCCTCCCACTTTCCATGCGCACGCTCTCTCTGTCACACACACACACACACACACACACACACACACACACACACACACACACAGAGTCATCCAATGTGTGAAGTGTGCAGAATCTCATCTCTTTGGTTCGGTGACTCTCAACCGGGGATGCCATGAGCATCACTTAAGGAGCTTGGGGAAGTGCAGAGACAGCCAGGCCCTCCTCCAGAGCTGCAAAGCTTGAACTTGCCAGCAGGCTCCTCCCACCCCCACCATGGCTGAGGATGCACACCCCCTCCCCTAAGAATTGTAGTTTCAGCCTTCCAGTCCACTGCCAAGAACTATGTGTAGGAGTTACTGAGACGCAGGGCCTGCAGAAGTCTGCATAGGCACCATGTGTGGCAGCCGGCATGGCCCTACACCCCTGCCAGCCCTCCTGACTACAGGGAGGCACTATGATAAGGGGCAAAAGCAGAGACAAGGAAGACATATTCTGCATATGGCTGGACTGTCTGCACTTGGCCCCTGTAGGAGCCCAACGAAACCTGAATAGTACGGGGCGCATAGTTGCCACAGGGATCAGGAATCTCACCTCCCCTTTCCCCCTCCAGACAGGTAGCCTGGGCTCTGAGAGGGCCACACCACAGTAGCATAGAGCTTAGAGATTGTAACTCCTGGTCTACAGCATTTGCCCCTGGTGCACGATGGAAGCCATGGGGCAGAGTGCTGGAGTCCGCCTGGAGTGACCTGTCCATGGTCTTTGAAGGCCAGGCCCTCTTCCACAAATGCCTTTCAGGTCTGGGGCTGCAGCTGAGGGAAAGCCCTGGGCTGTGCCCGGGGTGGGGTCGGGGGGCAGCTGGCCTGAGAGGCCTGCCCTTGACCCACTGACTGCCCATACTCTGTGCCCTAGTCCCACATGGCACCTGCAGCTGGCCTGCTGTGTCTGAGGAATTGCTCCCTGCACTGGGGCCTGGCATCTTCAAGTTCAGCCCTGGAATCCCCAGAGCTTGTCTGGCCCATCTCCCTGGCCATGCTCAGAGCAGAACACAGCCCAGAGGATGGCTGCTGAGAGTGCATGGAGGTGAAGACACAGCTTAGGACACCCAATCCCACAGCCCAATGAGTGGATGCCAGTCTTAGCTTTGTTTCTTATTCTAGCTTCCTGCTAAATGTGCATCCTGGGAGGCGGGGAGGTGGGGACTCCAGTAGTTGGGTTCCTGCTACCCATATGGGAGAATCAGACCGAGTTCTGAGCTCCTGCCTCCAGCCGGGACCAGCCAGGTTTTTTGCGGGTCTGAACCAGTGATGGCGGTTTCTCTCACTCAGGGTCTTGTTTCCAGTGGAGGGGGTGACCAACAGGCAGAGAGGCAGCATGAGCGCTAGTCATGAGTGGAAGAGAGACCTTGAACACTCACTCCATACATGGTAAAGACAGTTCTATCTGGATGAGCCGCTCGAGCTTGGGGCTGATTCCCTTCATGTTCATATCTGTTGCAATAGGCACTGTCTCCTTTTCCTCTCACTCCCCCCTTTTCTGAGCAACTCCGGGTCCCTCGAGCTCTGGAGCTGACCCATGGACCCTCCCTCTTTCCCAGGCTGAGGTCCCTTGCTCCCCTCCTGCCACTGTGTACAGACTGTACCTGCCTGCTCTCTAACCCACCCTGACTTTCTCACTTTGCCTGTGGCACAGCCTCACTGACTGGTGGTGGCCACCAGCCTAGATCTCAGTGGCTTTTCACAGGGAGTCAGCAGCAGGAGCCTCGGCAACCCTGAAACTGCGCCCCCCCTCAACCTTTATCAGCTGGACTCCACCAGTGTTGCATGTGCTTGGGACACATCTAGCTGTAGAGACACCTCGTGAGGGTGACTGGTGGGGTTTGGTCAAATCTCATGGGTTTATTGGTGATGTATTTCTGGGTGTTGAGGGATTGAGTGGAGGGTGCTCAGTAAGGCCATCCTCCTGTCCTTTTGGGGAAATCTCTCTACAACTCATCCGTGTGTGAATCGGTCTGTTCATTCAGCAATGATTGCCATCATGTCTTGGAATTGAGAGTGAGTTCTGACACAGACGGTGGAATTGGGCACTCTTTCCAAGTTAGATGGCATGAGTTGGCCAGGCCAGCAAAAGGTTGGCATCAGTTTCAGGATAGGGCCAAGACAAATGTTTGGAGAGCATTTTCTTAAAAGAGAATGAACAGTTGGTTTTGAGCCCACCTCACCCACCTTGGGGTGGGGTAGGGGGAGGCGTGTGTGTGTGTGTGTGTGTGTGTGTGTGTGTGTCTCCTTCCTTCCTTAGAGGCAGGGAGGAGCTTGGGAGAGCCTCCAGCAGCTTGTGGAGGATCCCCTGAGACTTGCTGGGGGGCAGGGGTGAGGAGGGCCGAGCTGCTCTGCTGCTGTGTTGCCTGTTCCCAACCCAATCTAGCCATGGACCCAACCTGGGAGGGGCCGTGGAACGGTGGTGTGCTGCTAAGTGTTCAGCAACCAGCCCCCTGGGCAGGGAGAGGCCCTGCTTTGTGTGACCTGTGATGCCTGAGGTGGAAACACTGCTGTCCTGAGCTTGAAGCTACCTTGG